CACATTATCAGTTTGTTGCTTTAATTCAATGATCTTCACCTTTACCCCAAGAAGCAATTCACGGATGATTCCACAACATTGTTAGAAATCATTTAATTCTCTGGTAGTCTTATAGACTTATAGAACATATAATCTTATATGTTCCAGAAGGAAAATTTTCTGCCTTTACAGATTTCAATTATCTACCCAACCGCACCCCACTCCCAAATCTGTCATAAGTGCTTTGTAAACATTTTAATCATTTAGCAGGTAAAAACAGCATATATTAACATTATATTTTATATCAAATAATAGTAGGACCTCAAAGTAACAGTAAAATAATATTCTTACATTTAAAACATTAGCATATAGGATCACAACACACAGCTGTCAACTTGCACATACAAAGAATGAAATATATCATGATCACTTTAATGATTTTTTTAAAAGATGTCTTGTGTTCCTTTTATATTATTAGTTATCACTTTCCGAGTTTAACAACTTAAACATATAGCCTGTGTAGTTTAAAGATAATTATAATAACAGCATGTATATTTAGAATGTACTATAGTTCAATGCTGCTTTGAAGAGCCAAGAAAAACAGAAAGAAAGGTACTGAAACTTGTTCTGTCCTGTAGTTGAAATACATGTTATTTGCTCCAATTGCTTGAGCAAGGGCTTCCACAGTAGAGGAAAAAAAAATCACCTGAAGCAGAAAGGCCTCAGCAGATAATCATACAGGTAAAGGTCACCATTTTTTTAAAAATTTAGGTACAAAATATAAAACTCACTGATCAAGAAATATTAGAAAATCATCAAGGTAAGTTAATGAGCATATAAAAATAAATAAATGCAGGAAGAAATCTAGTATACTAGTAAGTCTTACTGGGTAATAATGTCTCATGAGTTTCCTGCTTTTAAAAAAAGAGAGAAAAAAAAAGTTTTGTCTATATAAAATGTTCCTTTTTAATTAAGAGAGAAAAATCACAAAAACTTTTTTGTCCAAAATAATAATTGAAGGAAGCAATCTATTCAGGACTGTAAGAACTTCAACAAAAGAAAGAGTTAAATTCAGACTAAATTCATTTTGTGAGTTAACTCTTACACAGCTTCCCTGTTTCCTCATATACATCTTGATCATTTTATTAAAACTTTTAAAAATGAGCTAAAGAGGAAATGAGGCACTTCAAATAACAATTTCCTGTTACCTGTTATAAGCTATTTGGTGTTTTTCATTTAAAGAAATAAAAACATAATAGCAGATACCATTAGTTTAAAAGACTATGTAAGACCAAAAATGAAATCAGCTCACTAACTGCTTAACAGACATGTCTATTATTATAATGAAATGCCTCAAAATTTATAAAAAGAATGAAGAAACTCTTCATGTACTAATAACAAACTGATGAGCCTCCATATTAAGTGGAGGGAGAAGTATGATATAGGATAGTGTGTGTATAGTATACTATCATTTGTATAAGGGGGGAGAGTACATACATATTTGCTTGTGTATGGATAAAGTACCTCTGAAAAGACAAAAAATTGGTAATACTTGGTGACAGAGTGAGAGAATGCAGGGCATTTTGCTATATTATTTTGTTTCAAATAATGGACATTCTGAATGAATTATTAAAAAAGCAAAATTGAAAATATCAAATATATACTCCTTTTTATTTCACCAAAGGTGATCTCTTTCTTTTGATTGCTTTCTATGACATATATTCTACATTATTAATCACTGTGTCCCCAACAGTTTCTTGGGGGCAGAGATAAGACAATTTAATTCACCTTTGGATTTGCTGTAGCTTCTAACCCGGTGTATTAAATATAGTAAGAATAATAATGTTAATTTAAAAAATAATAGGCAACACTTGTTAGGCACTTATAAAATGCCCAGCATCTAATATGTATTAATTTATTTAATCCCCACAATTCTGAGGTAGCTATTGCACATTTATTAGCAAGGAAAGTGAGGTATGGAGAAGTTAAGAAACTTGCCCAAGGTCTCACAGGTAGGAAGTTAAAATAAAGCTTAAGATGAATTGCTACCCTTAGTTGAATCCCTGAGGTACTTTATATTTATCTTACAACCCCTTGAAGTAGGTGGTATTATTCTAATTTTACAGATAAGTAAGAAACTTCCCTTAGGTCACAAAATTCCTTGAGGGTAGACACAAGATAGTGGTGGCAATGCAAGGATACAAACCCAGGCCTGTGATTCCAAACCCCATTCTCTTTCAAATACAGTCTCTGTCACAGTAAGTCCTAAATAAATATTTGAATTACTATAAACTTCTGTTTCACGTGATACTGCAGTAGAAATTAGTTCACTCAAGTTAAAAAAAAAATTCCTGCATTTTTCCATTCCCTAACATCTACTACATCCTTAAATTCTAATTTGAGCTCTAACTAGTCAATAAAGAAGCCATCACTGAAAGTAACAGGGTACATCAAGAAACATATTTGCATAACTATGTCACAGGCTGGTTATAAACAAGTTTATGTAACTATATCTGATAAGTTATTTATGGAATAAATGAAATAAATTTCAATGATACACTGTTTACACATTAAGTTACAAATAATTTTCTCTATGTGAAAAAAAAAGAGAATTTGAAAAATGAGGTGGACACATACTTAGTTTTACTATAACGATTTTGTACCCAAACAAACAAAACCAAATGTCTGAGAATGAGAATCAAAATTTCTACTAATTAGATCTAATCAAGAATATGAGTTTCAGAAAGGAGAAAAAAAGGTGCCCTTTTTATGGATTAGGTTTCTAAGTTTCTTCAGGTTCTATGTGAAGAAAATTCATTCAAAACAGGTAACACTAAAGCTTTAAATTCCAAAAGAAGTGTTCTTTTAACATTCTTCAGGCAAATTCTGTCAAAGAACTATTACCTTTCTAAATGCAAGTGTTCATCTAAAAAGAAAACATTCAAGCAGATCCTGCTGTAATCTTTACTGATTCCTGGGAGGGTGCCGATGTACAATTTAGTACCATGTTCCAAGTGAATGTTCCAGTATTAATAATATAAAAGCCTGAAAAGTTTCCCTTGGAATCGCTAAGAATCACAAATTATGAATCTATATATAAAATAAAAATTTTAAAAATCTTTTGGATAAGACTGAAGAACATATCAGAAAACAATTTTCTTTTTTAAATAGAAAATCTCATAAAGAGTTCTTCCTCAGTGTTTAGAAATAAAATTATTTTCCCAATCCTTGCAGAAAAATTTCCTTTATTGCATCTGTTCAATTAAGTTTCTTGGCAATAATTGTTAATGTGGTATTTTAAAGACTAGCAATACGGTAAAGTATGTTTTGGGAAAGTGACTTGGATACAGAAAACAGTGCTTCTATTACCAATCAATATTTATTCCTAACCAGAAGCCTTGAATTCATCAATCACGATTCAGTCATACACTGAGTGGTATTTATTTTTAAAACAACCTGTTCATCTTCTGCACCACCTAACGTAACCGTTTTGGGTTTTACTTTTATATCAGGAAATGAGCAGTAAATGTAAAAGATTTCAGTAGGCAACGACTAAAAGGATCTCATGCTAAACCTTCAGAAGGCAGAGCAAGCTGAGGCTAGAATGAAATTCTTGAGAAAGTATTACAAACTTAAATAGGTCACACTGCAGGTCCTCTAAAAATTGTCTTATAATCTTTAATATGTCAATGACTTTTCTGCTGTCCCCTTTTGACAACACGCGAAGAAAAAATAAGGCTTGTAGTTTAAATTGTTGTCAATCTCAAGACTGAGTTTACCTACTGCATGCGAGACAAATAATGGATACTTTTAAAGCCTATTTTTAGAATTAATATTAAATCAATCTTTCACTGAAGTTTAGACAAAAATATGTGGGAAACACAGTGGGAGGGGCGGAGGGGTGAGGGGAGATACAAGTGACCCAAACGCGGTTGGCAAGGTTGCCCCCCTCTCCCCCGCAAAATGATGTAAAACAAAAGTACGTCGGCTAATATTCGTGTCAACGACGTGTTTCAGAATGATAGACCTCAAGTATTATTACCTTTGTGAAAAGGGTTAAAAACCGAAACTGTTTTAAAACACCAGCTTCCCTTTTACAAGATCCCAACAGTTTTCTTAAAAAGTTATTACAAATATGTTTTTTTTAGCACCCCCTTCCTCTCAAAAAGAATGCATTTCCATGACTACTGGCTTAAAAAAAAGAAAAAAGCGGAGGGGTGAGGGAAAGAGTCAATAATTCCCTAAAAAAGCACGAGTTCTCATCATCTCAACTAAGCAGCATAGGGCAGAAAACAGCATTTCCCCAACCATGAAGGAGCGGGAGGAAAGGGCACGAATAAAATACAGCACGAGAGGAAGCCTTGGGTTTCGAACTTTATTGCACAAAGAGAGTGGAGAGAAGAGTAGGTCAGACGTTGCAGCTCTTCCCCTCGCGAAGCGGGCACGGCGGACTCGGAGACTACCGGGAAGGCAGCAGGCACCTTCACCTCCTCTGCCCTCAACTGTCGCCTTCTTCCTCCTCCACCCCCCACCGGCACCCAGGCGGCGGCTGCCCCGGCGGACGGCCGGGCTCGGCCGGGCCGGGACAGCGGCGGCGGGGCGGCGACGGCGGGCGAGCGCGCGGGGCAGCGCTGGCGACGCGGCTCCGGCGGCTCCCGGCTCCGGCTCCGCGCCGGCCGGCGGCGGCGGCGGGAACGCGGGCGCAGCTCGCGCGGCCGCCGCCCGCAACACCCCGGCGCCGGCTCCCACCCCGCCCGCCCGCCGCCCCCCGCCATGAGCGCCGCCGCTGGCTGCAGGCAGAGTCGCTGCCGCCCCGGCCGCCGCTGGCTCCAGTCCGCCGCCATTATTCTTTGTTCGCTGCGAGCGGCGGCGATGTTGTGGGGCTCGGGCGGAGGCTCCATCTTTACCGCGGCCCCTCCTGCTAGGGGAAGGCCCCGAGCGCGGGTGTCCGGCGCCTCCCCGTCCCCCCTCCGTCCCCCCGGCTCTCTCCGGCTCCTGCCTCCTCCTCCTGCTCCTCTTACCGGTGGTACAAGCTCCTCCGTCACTGCTTTCGTTCGCGGCCCGGATCTCGCTGGAGTTTTATTCTCTCCCCCACGTAACACACCGCGTCAAACTACACCTCCGCCGCGTCACTCACCAACACTCCGCTTCTCCCAGCCGCCCGGGCCACAGGCAGCAGCAGCCGCCGCCGACTGAGGAGCCGCAGCCAGGGAGCCAGCCAGCGCCGCCCAGTGCCGAGTGCGCAGCGGCCGCACACGGAAACAGCCGAGCTCCGCCCGGAGCAGCTCGAGCGGCCCCGCCCCGCGCTGGGGGCGGAACGTGCCGAAGGCCTTCGGGTACCTCCGGGCGAGGCGGAGGCATTCTGCCAGGAGAGTGAAGGTGAAGGTGGGCTGGGAGCCGGGCCGGGAGGAGGGGTGTAAGCCCCTTCGCTGCGTTCGGGTGGGTACAACCAGACAGCGGAAATTTGAAGGAGGAAGCGGGGTTTGTGTGTGGCCCCGCGGGGAATTCCCGAGGGGTGTCGGTGACTTGACGGAAACCCCCGCGCTGGCCTGCCCCTGTGGCGGTAAGCGGCGGGCTCTAGGGCGACTTCGGCGGGTCCCGGCTCAGCGGCAGAGCGCCACCGGCGCGGGAACTTTCAAACGCTGTGGGCATGTGGGAGGCGCGCCGCCCAGGCTGGACTGCGGGAGTCGTGCGGGCTGGGGAGGGAGGGCCGCTGCGCCTCTGCGAACGCGCCGGGCCGGGGCTGGCACGCGAGGCTGCGCCGCTGCCCCAGCGAGACCCCGGGGCGTAGTGCGCCGCGGGTGGGGACGGCTTTCCAGCCCCGCGAATCGGCGGAGAAGCCTGGCGGCCGCCGCCGGCAAAGCAGCTTTTTTTCGGGGGGCGGAGACTCTGCAACTTGTGGCACCTGTGGGGCCCAGCCCAGCAGCGCGGGCAGCCAGGCTGTGGGTCCCATCGACGGCCCTCGGAGGCCTCCGAGCCACGACCTGCCCTGACCGAGGTTGCTCTTCAGCACTCGAAATATGTCCCCATCCCACCTGCGCGCCTTTCTTCAGCAACATCCTGTGCCGCTTTCTTTTCTCAGCCTGTTTTCTGCAGCAGTGGTTTGCACCCGCTGCACACTTTTCTTCACCACCCACCCCCACCCTACACCAAACCGTGTGACTTCCGTGGCCTGGAAGCGACTGAAACTGCGCTCTCAAGAGGCCGCACCCCTGACTCTCCATTCACCTTTTTATTGAACTCCGTAGCCCTCTGGGAGACCTGGGCTTTCAAGTCTCGTAATTCTTTCTGTTCCTTAAAGCAGACATGTCTTTAGGAAGCAGACAGACAGGGTTCAAATCTGGATTCCTGTTTACTGACTTCGTTATGAAGAGTTGCCCTTCCTAGTACTATAGATCTCATCCCCTACTGCTTTTTCCAGGACTTTGGATGTAGGAATATCCCCATTCTGTTATTTTCGGCCTTTCCTTTTCTACCGGCTCTTTCCTATAAGCACTTAAACTTGCTCAAGTCTGTCAATTATTTACAAAGTATCCTCTTCCTAAATCCCTCTCCAACAACTCCAACTGTGTCTTACCCCATCCAGGGGTGGGGAACCTGCGACCTCAAGGCCACATGTGGCCCTCCAGATCCCCAAGTTTGGCCCCTTGACCAAATTTAAACTTTATTAAAAGGATTTGTTCTGTAAAATTTGGATTCAGTCAAAAGGCCACATGGATTTCCTCTCCAGTCTAAGTGGCTCCGATTTTCATGGACTTACAGCTTCATGTCTGTAAAACCAGTGGATGATTTTCAGTCCTCATTTTGTAAGACCTCATCCTAGTGTTTGACGCTATCGACCACACTTTCTTCCAAATATACTCTTCCCTCTGCTCTTATGTCATAGTTTTCTTCCCTGCCTCTGTTTGCTCTAGAACAACCAGCTCCTCCTTCTTTATCCAGCTCTTATATTTGGAATCCTACTGAGTTGAATCCTGGCCCTCTTTTTGAGTCCCACCATATACACTTTTCTATGTGGTGTCTTGTCCTTTTCTAGTAGCTTCAAATACCCTCTGTCAGACTCTCCAATCCATAACTCAAGCGTACATCTTGCTCTTGAACTCTAGATTCATATTTTCAACTGCCATTGCTACACTTTCATGTGGATGACTGGGGCATTTCAAACTCAACCTATATGTCATAATCCTTTCAAAACTCTCATTCCCTATCCCCTGGTTCAGTTAAGGGTATCCTATCCATTTATTCAGTTTAAACCAGAAACCTAGCATACCTCCAACATACATCAGAATCACCTCGACCTCTCTGCTTCCTGAAAAATTGGATTTGTTCCCATGGCCATTTTTCCATTCCCATTCCAGTCTAAACTACCTTCACCTCTTGCTTGAATCCTACATTAACCACCATTGAGGTCCTCCAAGACTGCTCTTGCCTCATCCCAATACATTTGCTGCATTATCACCAGAGTAATTTTTTAAAAATACAAATCTGATCAAATCACTGACCTGCTTAAATTCCTTCAGTGGCTTCCCTTTGCTTACTGAACACTATTTAAGCTCCATTATCTAGGCTTGTCTTTCTCCTCCTCTCCAACTGTCCCCCCTAGCTCTCTGCACTCTAGCCATACATAGTAGTCTTTTGGAGGCTCAAGGCATTTACACATGCCATCCCACCACTAGAGTTCTTTTCTCTCACCCCCTCCTACCTAACTGTAATGTATCATTTTCTTTTTCAATTCATCATTCTAGTCATTATTTGTTTAGTGTCCATGTAATGTCTGTGTAGGTAGGGACCACATCTATCTTGTTTGCTACCAGCTTTTCCTCTTCCCTCCCATCTCTAGCAACCACACAATGTCTAGAATATAGTGGTGCTTGTTAAGTATTGAATAAGTAAGCAATTTTGGTGTGATCCTAGGTAAAGTTTCTTAACGTTTTTGGATGCAAATCCTGGCTCTCTTAGCAAGTTCAGACTGCCATAATACCATAGACTGAATGGCTTATAAGCAATGGAAATTTATTTCTCACAATTCCGGAGGAACTGGAACTCTGAAACTGGGCTGGAACTCTGAAATTAGACTGCCAGCATGGTCAGGTTCTGGTGGGGGCCTCTTCAGGATTGCAGGTGGCTATTTTCTCTTTGTGTGTCTCACAATGCAGAAAGAGGGCAAGCGCTCTCTGGGGTTCTTTTTATAAGGCATTAGTCCCATTCACGAGGGCTCTACCATCATGTTCTAATTATCTCCCAAAGGCCCTATCTTCTGATACCAACACATTGGGAGTTAGGATTTCATCATATGAATTTGCAAAGGACAAGGCGAGCACACAAACAGTCCGTTGCACTGGCTCAACCATTTGCTAGCTATTGACTTTGGACTAATTGTTCACTCCTGTACCTCAGTTTTCCCATCTGTAAAATAAAGACTGGTAGGACCTACATTATAGTGTTATTGTGGTGATTACATGACATAATACATGTAAAGTATACTTGGAACAATGTTTGGCATGTAATATGTTAATAAAAATGTTGCCTATTACTAGCTTTTACTTGGATAACTCAACATTTTCAAAATTGAGTTCATCTTCAATGGTGAACTCAAGGTAGGAAGTTCTTCTTCCTACCCTGACCCTATACAAGATACCAAAATTTTGGAATTATCTATTCATGGCCTATATTTATCACGCACCAATATGGTGATTTTTTTATTTTAAAATTTTCTCATATTCACTCTTCCTTTATTCACACCAACCTTCATTTAGGCTCTATCTCATCACATCTCATTTACTTTGCTAACTTCTTAGGTGCTTTCTAACTGCAGGCCAGCTTCCTCTGTATACTTGTACCCTACTGTCAGACCAGTGGGCCTCAAACAGTTATTAAATCATGTATCCTCCTTGACTTATGCTCTAGCAGCCTCTGTTCCCACCTAACTTTGTTCAATCATCCATTCACTGAAGTACAAATTATGTTACAAAACATGCTGGGTATACTCCAGATTTCAAATTCAGTCTTTTAATTTCATATATTCTGTTCTAGCATCTCCATAAACCATAGACATGAACTGGGAAGGTTAAACTTTCAGCATCCAATTTTTGTCTTCGGTACTTTGAAGCCACTTCCATTTTTGTTGTTGTTAATATTATTTTTTAGAGACAGGGTCTGGCTGGCTATGTTACCCAGGCTGGAATGCAGTGACTATCCACAGGTGTGATCATAGCACACTGCAACCTTGAACTTCTGGGCTCAAGTGATCCTCCTGCCTTAGTCTCCTGAGTAGCTGGAACTATAGACAACTTCCATTTTTGACTCAGTTTCCCAATTAGAATATACGGTCAATATCAGGGAGATGAAAGTAGAAGAGAGCACGTGGATCTTGAAAGAGGTCCAGAGTAGGGGGAAGATCCTATGAGATGATTATAAAAGGCTTCAAGGAAAAAGTAGTATTTGAGAGCTTTTTTCTAACCACAGCTTCCTTTTCCTGTTATTTTTCTTTTTTGCTTCTGCTGTCGAACCTAATTTTCACCCTCACTATGAACTCAAGTTCCATGAACCTTGCCTATCCTTGTACTTCATCACCTCTTGTCACTTGATATGCTTTCCTTCCTGACCCCAAGGCCATTGCGACCTACTTCATTTATTCTAAAAATATCTGTTGAGCACCTATGCTTTCCTCTAGAAACTGGGGAATAGCAGTGAACAAAACAGATTCTCTCTGCTCTCAAAGGTACTAAAATCTTCAACCTCTCTACTTTCTAACATTTCTCTTTTTGCTCACTGTTTAGTGTTCTCATCCAGGCTCACGATACTATGTCTGTGCTGATAACTCTCAAAAGTATATCTTCTCCCCAAATCACTCTCCCAAACCCAGACTTATTTAAACAGCTACTTGCTCACATTTCCACTTGAATGTTGTCTTAGCCTGTGTCTCCAAGAAAGCAGAAACTGAGGCAAAAGCTGTGCTATTATATTACTAGGGAGAACAATCCCAGGGAAATGATGGTAGGGAAAAGCAATGAATCAGGGGAGGAGGTCAAGATTCAGTCAAAGGGATGCTAACACTACCCTCCTCCCCACTACTCTCTGTTTTGTGTGGGCACCAGACAGACCTCCCAATAAGATGTATGGCCTGAGCAGGAGGCAAAATGCTGCCAGATGGTTACTGCCTGAGTTGGTTGGCCAGTGGTGATGGGGGCGGAATAAGGGGCCCAAGGACCCCTAGGCAGGCGAGGCCAGAAGGATCTGAGGTGCTACAGATGTCTTCTAGACATCCCAAACTCTATGTGTCCAAAATGGAACTGACTGTCCCCCTTGTATCTGTACCTCCAGCCTTTCCCATCTTAATTACTGAGGTTAAAAATCTTGGCACAATTCTCAGTGCCTTCCTTTCTCCACATGTATTCCATCAGGAAATTTTATTGACTATACCTTCAAAATATATCCCCAGACTAACTACTTACCACCATTGGAAGTGACCTGGGTCTGTAATAGATCTAACTCTTGCCAGGATTGCTGCGATAGCTTAAGAACTTTCCCTACTTCCCTTGCCTCGTGCCAGCCACACTTGTGCCTTGGCACCTTGGGGCTGTTCCAGTGCTTAAAGTGCTCTTTTCCCAAATATCCAGAGCACTAACTCCTGCACCTCTTTCAAATTTTTGCTGAAATGTTACCTCACTGAAGACTGTGACCACACCACTTAAAATTGCAACTCTTTTATACCCCACGTTCAATCTGTCATCAAATACTGTTGTCCTCACCTCATCTCCACTGATAGCAACTTTGTCCAAGCCACTATTCACCTTTGACTAGAATTTTGTATCAGCTACCCTTAACCTTCATTCTGTTCTCAACACAGCAGCCGGAGTAATACTTTTAAACACATAAAGCAGTTCATACCGTGAATTTTGACTCTGTGCAAAACTTTCCCGAAGCTCCCCGTCTCAGAATAAAAGCCAAGATTCTTACAGTTAGTTCTACAAGATCTCACACCTCTCCAGTCGCACTTCCTGCTGTTCCCCTACCATTCTCTGTTCAGCCACACTGGCCTCCTTGCTGTTCCTCAAGCCCTGGGCGCACTCTCTCCTAAGGATCTTTGCACTCATCATCGTTCCCTCTGCTCAGGGTGCTCCTCCCAGTCATGCTCATGTCTTCCTCACCTCCTTGGTTCTTTGCTTAAATGCCCCCATTTCTGCGAGGCCTTCCCCTGTGACCCTGATAAACATTGTTCACCTTACACTTCTCTGCTCTTTTGCTCTATATTTCCCTTGACTACTCAATTTTTCTCTATAGCACATATCACTTTCTGGTACATTATATATTAACTCATTTATTGTGGTTATTGTCTACCCCCTGCAGGAGAGAGACTTTTGTCTCTTTTTTTTTTTACTGCTGTATCCTTAACATCTAGAAGAGTGCGTGGTACACAGTTGGTACTCAAATATTTGGATGAATGCAATCTGAATTTTGGATTTAATCTCCTGAGCATTTGGTTAGCATGAACAGGTCTTCCTCAGAGTGATCACCTCTGGATGCATCTATAAATATTGAGCTTCTGTATTGCAGCCTGCATCATGGTGGGGCTTGATTCTATGTGGCTACACTCTGTGCCCTTTCTATCTTGTTTTCATATGATCTGAAAGAGACGAAGACCTCTTTGAAGCTTTCTGGTCTTCCTACATCCCAGGGTCAGAACTGAAGGACTGATCAGCAAGATTCTGGGAACTTTTAATTATTATTTTGAGGACTAAATGGTAAGGTACTAGCACTCCTGCATCTGTCTATCTTCTGGCTGAAAGCAACGCCATGTAAACAAAGTCAAATGGCCTGTTATCCTCTTAGAAATTGCAAAAAGACCACTGGCTGACAATTAAAACCAAGAACAGCAACAAGCAAAAGATTTATTGAGTACTTACTTTGTGCCAGGCACTGTTCTAAACACGTTTTAATGTGTTACCTAATTTAATCTTCATAACAACCCATTGAGGAAAATATTAATAGTAGAAACATTTTATAGATAAGCAAACTGAAGCCAGAGAAGAAATGTGTCTGAGGTCTTAGAGCCAGTAAGTGGCAGAGTCAGAATGTGAACCCAGACAGTCTGGCATTAAGGCCTGCACTCTTAACCACTGCGTTCCACAGCCTGTTTGTAGAATGAAAAGGAGGAAGGGATTTTGCTTTGAAAAAAAAAAAAAAAAGCAATTATGACTCCATCAGTGTAATTCTATCATTCTGAAAGCACCTTAGTAACCCAAGCACTTTCTTCTGGCATCAACCCTGATGCCATTTTCATGCATGACACAAGATTCAGGCTGACTGGTTTCCAAGGTGCCAAGGTTACTCTTCCTAGGCAAAGGAGTGGGCTCCTTGAAACACTGCCAAACCCGTCCTCTCCATCTTTGCTTCACTAGCTTCTGCTCCTTAGCTGAGCTCTGAAGGATATATCATAAACTCTAAGAGCTCTATGTAGCTGCCTCCCCTCTCCCCCAACACCAACGCCCTGGTCTTGTTTAGGTGCCTGAACTCTGTATCCTTATTTCCATCAAAGCACCTATCACACTTGTCATTGTTTGTTTCTGTGTTTCTATGCCAGACTGTAACCTCTGATGGCAGAGATTGTCTCTGGCTTATTCATTTCTGTATCTTTAATGCCTAGCATTAGTGTTTGGTGTTTGACACATTAAAGGAGTTTGATAAAAAAATTTTGAATGAGTAAAAGTGATATTTCTATGGAATATCTGCAATCATATCCATGCATTTAAGTGAGTTTTCTTGTGACCAGGCTAGTTCATTTTTTTTTTTAGAAAATGGAAAAGATGATTTTCTTTTAGTCTGCCTTCTAGCTGTTGGGTTTTCATGTTGTGATATTGCTGATACCATAATGCTAGTTTTCAGTTACTGCCTCTTTCTGCTTCAGATTCAACCGACATTCAACTACTATGTAATAGATGTCTCACTGGGGTCTTTCACTTACATGTGCTAATTTAAATTGAGATAACCTCTCTGGGCTTCAAATTCTGCAGCTGTATAACCAAGGTACCTCATTGACTTGCACAAGATCGAACTGTACGTTTGAGAATTGGGGTCTGAATTTAGGACTTCTAAGTTTAGCTTTCTTTTTTTTCAAATATGATGTTTCCTTCCTGTTCTTATCTCTGATCCTTGTCTACTAGTCCATGGGTAGCACTCATATTACTAAGTGACATGCATATTCATAATCTTGCTATATGCCCCTCCATTAAAAAAATTTTCCTCCTCCCCTTTTTTTCTATTTTCTACTTTTATTCATTTCCTTCCCATTTCTCAGTGCCTGTTTCTTTCCTAAAGAACAGTGACAGGGTTTATGAAAACATTTCTGGGGGCTGTTCTAATTTCCTATCTGGATTGAAGGCTTTATTGTGATTTGGTTATTTCTAATATTATTTCTATTCTATTATTATATCTATATCAGAAATAGATGTGAGAAGAGTCCCAGAGATTGAAGCACATACTATTTGGGATCCTGATCAAACAAGGTGATTGAACTCATGCTTTTTGCTCTGCTCTTTCCTGATACCCCACAGTAATGGAATAAGAAAAGTATTAATATGAACCCTCATGTTAGAACAATTCCTTCTCCTCCCTAATATGGCCAGAATATGTCAAATATGGCAGAAGGGACTTTGCAAATGTGATTAAGTTAAGGAGTTTGAGATGGAGAAATTATGCTGGATTATTTGGGTGGCCCCAGTGTAATCACAAAAATCCTTGTAAGGAAAGAAGGAAGCAGGAGAGTTAGACTGGGATGGAGGGGATTGAATTTGCTCCACTGCTGGCTTTGAAGATGGAGCATGAGGCCCTGAGCCCAGGGATGCAGACAGCCTTTAGGAGCTAGAAAAGTCAAAGAAACAGATTTTTCCTCTAGAGTTTCCAGAAGAAATATAGCCCTACTGACGCCTTGATTTTAGCTTGCTGAGACTAATTTTGAACTTCGGCCCTTTAGAAGTATAAGCAATAAATTTATGTTGTTTTAAGCCATTAAGTTTGTGATAATTCATTACACAGGCAAGAAGAAATGAATACAACACTCCAAGGACAAAAAGAGCAAGAAAGGAGATAACAGCAGTTAAGAGAATTCATCACATGTTTGGAAGATGGGAAGTGGATGGAGGAAAGGTGACTGACTTGGCAGAGTAGAGGAAGCTGATACCTAAGTGCCTGTAGAAACAATTGGAGGCTACACCTCTTCATTCTTTTACGGAGGTTAGGAAAAGAGTACACAGGGAGGCCTACAGAATATTTAGCTAAATATTTAAAAGATATAGATCCAGCTAAAAAAAAACCACTGACTAAAGTATATTCTATCCTCCTGTCTTGAGAAATGCAGAGGAAGGACCTCCACCTGGGAGTATTCCAATGAAGACATCTACTCATGTATAAAGGCAACTCAATGGGATAAAAATATTTGAGAATTATTGTGCTAGAACAATCAGCAAATGACCAACACTACATTTTCTGACCATTCTTCCTCCTCTGCAATTACGTTCATGAGAATTTATGTAGAAACAGAAGCGTATCAAGGTCAGCACCTGGTCTTTCCCTAATTAAGTGGTTTGCAACACTCCCCCCTTCCTCCATATTGCCCCCTCAATAAAGCACTTGGAAAGAACCCAAAGAAAACTGGTATTTTTCCAAGAAGCCATGGGAAAACAGCATTAGTAACCCTGAGAAGGTGGAGACATTTAACTTTGCAAAGATAATAAGCTTACTTTTTTTATAGTCCTCTCCTAATTCTGTATTTTTTACTGTACTACTCTCATGGTAGTCTTAATAGTCAAATATCTGAAGCATTAATAGTAATAATGCAAAAAGATAAGAATTCTCTTGCCCTTTTACTGGCTCATTAGGTCTTGCTTCTGTCTCTTCAGGCTGTATGCCATACTATCCAATTGCTTACTAAAAGAAAGCAGAGAAAACGTCCATACTTAATGTCTTTTGGGGCTTAAAAACTGGTGCTTGATTGGGATAAAGTAAAATACAATTTATCATAGGATGTATTTCAGAAATACAAGAGAACAGTTCTTGTTATGAATAGTGACACTTCTTTCAATATATGAGTACAGATAATAAAACGGTCAGTAATTCTGCCAATCTTAAAGCTAACGTTCACGTGCATCTTGATAAAACTCTTCTGTTGTCTGTGTTAGTGTGGTTCCATCATGAACATTGTCTTGGAATTACTGGAAAAGAGAACACGGCAGACATATGCCCTAACAGGAATTGTTACTACCTAAACTCAGGTACAAGTTCAAACCACACCTAGGCAGCATCATCCCATCTCTGCATAGTAAAAGGCAATCACAGCATAGCTTATAAGGTAGGAGTTACTGTCTTTCCTAAAACTAACCTTATCAAAGAATCTGACTTGTGTGTTCAGATACTTAATGAGTGGTTCTCAAGTTTTCTGTCTTTTTCACACACAACATATTTCCATGATTAACATCCAAAGATGGAGTGAAAGAGGGGCTCTTTTTCTAAAAGCTCCTTCCACCAAGACTTTTATTCCTTCCCTGGCTTCTTTCCTTCTGCAAGGATTTAGAAACATTTCTTATCTCAGTGTGTACATATGATGGAGAAGGGGAGAAGAAATCTTTGTTTGTCTGTTGTTGTTTTCTTTTTTGCAACTTTAAATTTATTTCCTTTGACAATAAGGCTATAAAGCATTACATCTCTTTTCAGGATTTCCTCCCTGACTTTATTAAGGTATAATTGACAAATAAAAATCGTATATATTTACAGCATGCAATGTGTTGTTTTGACATATGTATACATTGTGAAATGATTAAATCAACCTAATTAATGTATTCATCACTTCACACACTTATTTTTTTGTGGTGAGAACATTTAAGATCTACTCTTAGCAATTTTCAATTATACAATACATTAATAACTGTTGTCACTGTGCTGTACAATAGATCTCTAGAACTAAAAATAAATCTTTTCATCTCTACACCCCCCAGGCAGCAAATAAAAAGTTCAATGTCATGATTGCTAGTGTACTTTTTCTGTGCAGACCTTTATTAGGAAGGAATCTCATCCTATTAGCTAAATTCTTATAGTCTACTCTTTGACATACTTTTTTTTTTTTAGAAAGATCTTGTCAAAAATGAGAATGATTCAGTATATATATTTGTTTATATTAGATTAACTATAGTCTCATTTCTTCCAGGAATATCTTCTTGCCAACAGAACTTAGAGGAAGACACCCATGCCTATGCCTTCCCTGCACAAGCAGATTTTGTGTCATTAGGGTTTTGCATTTGTAGATCAGAAAAAAAAACAAAACACCTTTATTGCATCTAATCCATGGGTTGGAGCTGATACATTTATAGTTCTAAGATCCTTTAAGATAAGAGGCTTCTTAGTACATATATTCTCAAACTATGAATGAGGGTTATAAACAGTGAAATGGAATTGAATTTGCTAGTAGTTGGTGTGCTTGCAGCCAAGGCTCTTGACAATATAGTTTCTTAATCGCAGTTCTGTCTCCCTAACTAGACTGTGATCTTCTTCCAGGATGGACTGCATCCTTTTTGTCCCTCTCTTCCCTCAGTACAATTACCCTGTGTAGATTCATGGACTGAATCTGCAAATGTTATTGCCTAATATGTTACTGTGTCATACTCTGTAAATGTTACTAATATCTATTCTGTCTCATGGTGATAAATAGTTTTTGTAGCTGTGGTTTTGAGCTGAACCAATAGAATACTTTTGTAATTATGTGTCAGAATTTCTTGTACCTTTTCCAGGAAGCTGGAACTGAATCATTTTCAGGACTATTATATAACCTAGTCTATTATCTTTAGTCCAAGATTAAACAAATACTCTTGTGGCCTACGTGATATAAGATGTGAAAGGATTATAACTGAAACACTCCTTAAGCGGCTTGCTGTAGCCAAGGAATGCTTACTGGAATTATCCATAAAATATATGATGTAGCCAAAGGAGTTTTAAAAACACCGCCTCTTTCTTTCCCTTAGGGCTTGTCCTGTCAGAGCTTGCTGCACACACAAAGGCAGGGCACTTGCCATGTGTTATAAATTATATTACTCATTCATAGATTTGTCTAACCCAGGGGTCCTCAAACTTTTTAAACAGGGGGCCAGTTCACTGTCCCTCAGACCATTGGAGGGCCGGACTATAGTTAAAAAAAAACTATGAACAAATTCCTATGCACACTGCACACATCTTATTTTGAAGTAAAAAATCAAACGGGCAAAAACACCTGCATGTGGCCCGTGGGCCGTAGTTTGAGGACGCCTGGACCCATTAGACTAAAAGTATCTCAAGGCCAAGGACAAAGTTTTACTTTATCCATTTAGCCCTCATACCTCCTTCCATGCCTGTTTATTGACTTTAACAGAGGGAACCAGAGTCAGCACTCAAAACATGAGACACAGGAGACTAGAATTAGAGGCCTACATGGGGCAGAGATACCAGCCACTCTTGGGGTAGCATATAGAGTAGGCATGGAAGGCCCATGCCAAAGATTTTGTTCTTAAAATACTTAAAGGTGAGGAATTACTAAATAAGAGGCAGCTGACTTTTTTTCCAAGAAACAAATTACTATGTATGAAAATTGTATGGAACATATAGAAGACATAAGTTTTCTTCACTATTTTGAGCTTTCTCTAAAAAAGGGGAAAATAATGGTAAGTACTTCACAGGCTTGTGAGAGTGAAATGAAAAGATCCACATATACCGCTTAGCACTGTTCCTGGCACATTGTAAGGGGTTAGTAAGTATTGAATATTATTGAATACTATCATATTTCATTGAGTCCAATTAAAATGTCATTTTTTGCACCTACTAAGGAAAATTAATTGCCAATTAATCTATGATACTAATTTTTATCACCAAAATTATTTTATCTTTATTGAAAAAATTTTAGACTTAGACATACTTTAAAATCATATTTCATTCTTGTGCCATATATAAAAAGGCAAATGTAAACAAATAATTTCAAGTATTTCTAGGACTTTTCATGGTCAGAGTCTAATTCTTTAAAATGATTTTTTGACTCAGAGACATTGTTTTTTAAATTTTTTCTTCAATTAAATTTTTTTTTTTAAGACAGGGTCTTTCTCTCTCTCTCTATTGCCCAGGCTGGAATGCAGTGGCACCATCATAGCTCACTGCAGCCTCAAACTTCTGGGCTCAAGCTATGCTCCTGTCTCAGCCTCCTGAGAAGCTGGGACTACCGATGCATGCCACCATGCTTAGCTATTTTATTTTTTTTAATTTTTTGTAGAGACAGAGTGTTGCTATGTTGCTCAGGCTGGTTTCAAACTCCTGGCCTCAGGCAATCCTTCTGCCTGTGCCTCTCAAAGTGCTGGGATTATAGGCATGAGCCACTAGGCCTGGCTGATTTCTATGATTTTCTCATAATGTTGTTGTCTGTGATATCAAGAGTATTGAAAATTAGAAATGCATCATTTATAAAATGTGCCCCTCTGCTGAATCCCAGATTTTCTTCCAAATTACTATTCCCACTCTCCTTATGTATGCTCTGTCTTATCCTTAGTATCAATGGAAGGGTTTCAGACAACAACCAGATTTATATTCTGTCCTGAATCCCTGCTCTTCACATCTCAACCTATTTCTTTATGATCTTACCTCCTTAGTTCATGAAAACTCAATTGTAGTAGTTGCTAAGATCAGAATCCCTGGAGTTATCCTTGGCTCCTCTTTGTCTCTTATACCCCACATCTAGTCCACCAAAGTTCTAAATCCAGAGTCTGCCCTCCTCTACTGCTGCTATTCTCGCCTGAGCCATCGTCATCTTTCACCTATAATTACCTCTTAACAGGTTTTTCGGCTTCTGTCTTGGCCCCACTACAATTCTATTCTGAACATAGTGGCCAGAGCAAATCTTACATAACTAAGTCAGATCATGGCTCTTCCCTACTAAAAACCCAGCTCCCCATGTTGCTTAGTAAAAGTCAAAGCCTTCATAATAGTGACAGGCCTGCAAGATCTATGCTCCCTGCTTTACATCTCTCCCCCTCTTATTTGCTGCTGGTAAACTTTCCTGTAAACTCGCTGGCCTCCTGGCTGTTTCCCAGTCTCTCCACGCATGCTCCCACTGGAGGGTCTTTGCTTTGGCTCTTCCCTTTGCCTGGAATCCTCCAGGATCCATAGAGTTTACTCCCTCACCTCCTTCAAGATTTTGCTGAAATCTCATTTTCTCACTGAAGCCCACCTTGGCCATCCTATTTAATACTGCAACCTGAACATCATCTGTGCCTCAATCCACTCCATCCTCCTTAACCCACTCCACATTTCCTTTTTCCCTAGCACTCATCAGTGTAACATACTATAAAATTTACGTATGTATTATAGTTTATTATTTGGTATCTGTCTTTCCTCAGAAGAGTATGCTTCTTTGATTTGTTCACTAGTCATTCCTAAGTGCCTAGAACAGTGCTGCATAGGCATTCCTTCAGTACTTGCTGAATTGTACTGAATTGTGGTAAATCCTATGACCAAGGTCAGCGCAAATTGCCATGGAAGTGTAGAGAAATGGCCCACACAGCAGATTAAGAAAGAATGTGAAGGAGCTGATGTTCAGCTGAACTCCTAAGGATAAGTAGAGTGAGGCAGGTGAAG